TAAAGTGAGACTTAGTAACCCCCCTAAAGTGAGACTTAGTAACCCCCCTAAAGTGAGACTCCACAACCGCTGCTGGGTCTGTCCCTGAGTGAGTTCTCACCATTTCCTTAAACAAGTTCTCCTACACTGAATTCAAGATAGAGCCCATTTTGCTGACTGGGATCTGAAGAGATAAAGTCAGAATAATGATGAGGACCCCATACAAGAGGCAGACGCTTGGCCAAAGCAGTGGAGGGCTGCACAGGCCACCCTGGCTCACCCTCAGCAGGACCCTCAGGAACTCGAGGGACCTGTGCCACACCCAGGGTGTGGGGCTGGCTGCACTTTCCTTAGGCCCTCCCGGCTAACAGCCACCACCTGCCAAGCCCGCCTTGTCCCAGAACAGGCCACTTAGACCCCCTCCCCCACCTGGCCTAACAAGTGAGCAAGACTCAAGCAAAACACTTCACTGAAATGCTCACACTCCAGCCAAGGAGCACAGCCACCTGTCTACCGGGAACCCGCTGCTCTTCCACACCTGCCTCTCCCGTGGTCCCACGACAATGGCCTGGAGCGTGGACCACACTGTTTTCACGCCCGTGCCTGCAAACATCTCTTCATCCTAACTCTTTCTTTTTTCTTATTGATTTCTTTATTTCATTATTTTTTACCTTGGAACCAGGCAGTCAGCTCTCTGAAGAGTTGTGGCATCAAGTTCAAAAAGGGATGCGATGTCGTTTCCATGGGGAAGGGAGACAAGGGTGTACATGATCTTCTCTCCAGCCTGGCGCTTCTTCTTCGAGGCCGGAAGCTCCCCGTCTCTCTGTTGAAAAGCCCAAGGTTACTCAGCGTCTTCAGAGTCAGTGGTCACTGCTCCGGCTAGAGGGGCATAGGCGGGAGCTTGTCCAGCACTCCTTCACTGGTGGAGGGGGTCTACCCGCAACCACCCAGAAGACTAGGGCTCACGGGCTTGGTAATGACCACGGGCGGTCACATGGCTATGCTCCAGGCAGGAGTCTAATCAGAGCACGTCCTCAAGGCCCACAGTATGGCCCTTCTCTGGCCGCTTTACTCCTATTTACACATAGTGATTTGACCGTCCATGTTCAGGCCAGTGACCAGAGCCCTCTAAATCCCATGGCCTCAGGAAGACAGACAAACGACCAATGAATATATGAAGGATGCTCAACCCCACCATCTCCTCATTCTACAGAACAGAATCTGGAAGTACTGTTTCAACTGTCTCCCATTTCTAGAACATGTCCACGGATGTAAATACACTCAGGTCCACGGCTGGCCCCACGGGGGGATTTTGACACTCGGAGAACACCTGGCAATTTCTGGAGACATTTTTTGGTTATTAGGACTGAAAGTCGGGGGAGGGGCGGACAAAGCTGCTGGCATCCATCACCCTATCATTCAGAGGCACGCCACTACCGTGCAGGGAACACCCACCACAAACCACGCAGAGGCCACCCCGACACTCACACTGAGAACGCCTTATACCACCGCAAAGATTATCTAGCCCGGAGAACTTGTCGACAGGGTCAACATCTGAGAGGCTGTGAAACCCAGCCTCAGGAATAAAACTCCTTCAAAACAGCGTCTATGCCACATAGAGATGGCAATGCTTGCTGATATGAACAGCATTACAGAGAATTTTTAAAAACATCTCCTCTTCGAAGCCAGCAGAAAGAGGTGGACCTTCAAGAAGACATAATGACCGTGAGGTTCCCAGCTGGGCCTGACATGCTGCCAGTGTCTGCCGGGCACACAGGGAAGCCGTATGCCTCTAAGATTGGGATAATGGACCCCTTTGTAAAACGAGCACAGCAATTTGTCTTAATGGGGGCCCTGACACACACCGCCTCATTTCTGCGACACCACGCATTAACCTCTTAAACTTCAAAAATGGAAGGCGGCATTTTGATAAAGGCTTCTGAATTACAGGAAAAAAATCTTAGCAGGTCATTAAGTCAGCAGCACACGGGAAATTAAGGGCAGAAAGAGAGCATGGTCCACGTCAGTGTTGCTGGAAGCTGGGCGTGAGAGGAGCCACATGTTTGGGGAAGCTGACCTCCCACGCCAGCAGCCCCTCTGCCGTCCCCTCAGACAGAAGCGTGACTGCCGGGACAGGGCAGACGGACTGTGGAAGGAGACGCTACACCTGCTGCTCTCCGCTTTGCTTACCCTCGGGGCTCAGTCAGTCAGCGCTCTGCTGCTGTCTGTCTCTCAGGATGACTGGCGCAGCCCCCTCCAAACGTGGACAGAGCACGCAGACCACCTGCCCTGTGTGTGCTGAGAGTGAGGCTGGGACGGCCCGCTCTGCTCTGTGCACACAGCCAGCAGCACGGCCATCGCCGCAGCAGGACGCAGAGCAGAGCAGAGCAGAGCGGTCATTCAGCCACACGGGTTGGGGGGAGGTGTGCTGGGTGCCCTCCCAGGAGAAGCAGCTTTTTCCCCAGTGCTGGGGATGGAGCCTGGGGCCTCACATGTAAACTCTGTGTAATTTTTTTATCACACTTAGCTATCGTGTGTGATCACGTGTGAGTGTGCATGTGGGGGAAGGGGCAGATGCCACAGCACAAGTGTAAAAGTCAGAGGACAACCTTCGTGAGTGGGTTTCCCCCTCCCCTTTAGATAGGCTTTCACTAAATTGCCAAGGCTGGCCTTGAACTTGCTATCCTCCTGCCTCAGCCACTGGAATAGCCTGGATGACAGGCCTGCACCACAAGGCCCTGCTACACATACAGAGCTCAGAAAGTCTGAATAAAAGGTGTTAATGGGTATTTCTTTTGTTTGTTTGTTTTTTGTTTTTTTCCAGACAGGGTTCCTCTATGTAGCCTTGGCTGTCCTGGACTCCCTTTGTAGACCAGGCTGGCCTCAAACTCACAGAGATCTACCTGCCTCTGCCTCCCAGAGTGCTGGGATTACAGGCGTGTGCTACCACTGCCCAGCACAAGTTTCTGTGTTTGTGACTGTCTTATTATCAGGGTACACAGCGAGGTAGGCAGGCAAACACACCAGCACACTAGACTCTTACTTTAGCCCTGGCAGAAAACAGAAAGAGGGGTCAGTGGGACTGAGCCACGCCCAGAACTTCTCCCTGGATCGAGTAAGCCACACAAAAACAAACCACGAAGCTGGGGAGCCATGCAGACACTTTAAATCAGACACTTGCGGCTGGGAGGAGGCCCCATGGGTAGAGCAGGTGGACAAGGCCCTGGCTTCCATGCCCTAGGCCACACGCAACCTGGCGCAGTGGTGGCCACCTGTCACCCACTCAGCTGTGGAGGGACACAGGCGGGTGCCATATCTCAGCTGCTGCGGAAAGAGCTGCAGCAAATGCAGGCATGCGAGCGAGCATCGGAAAGCCGCTCTGCCGGCTTTGCTTGTACAGGCGCTGCCCAGTCATGGGACTGCTGCATTGGACCGGAGGTCTACACTGAGCGCTTTGAGGAATCAACACACTGGATTCTGGAGGACAGTGCCTGCGGCCCTTTCTCCGAAGCCTCGCCAGCATCTGTCTGTTGTCTTTTTGACAATGGTCGTTCTAGCTAGAGTGAGAGGGTGGTGCCGAGCGGGTTTGATTTTCATTTTCCTGACAGCAAAAACAATGCAACATGATACTGTCCGAGTGAGAATATTCAGACGGCACGGGGACAAAGAGCACAGCCATGCAGGGTCTCCTCAAACCACAAAACAGAGGGGGTGAGGGCAGAGGGGCCTCAAGGGAGGGGGCGCTGGAAATGATTCCTTCGAGTTCAAATCAGCAGCAAACAAATAAACAGCACAATTAAAGGATGAGCTAACATTCTAAATGGACACTTCTCAAAAGCAGACAGGCAAGCAGACAGACAGGCAGGCACACAGACAGACAGGGAGGCATACAGGCAGGCAGACAGGCAGGCAGGCAGGCAGACAGGCAGGCAGGCAGGCAGACAGGCAGGCAAACAGGCAGGCAGACAGGCAGGCAGACAGGCAGGCAAACAGGCAGGCAGACAGGCAGACAGGCAAGCAGACAGACAGGCAGACAGACAGG